TAGGAGTTAAGCCATGTTAACTGTTTGATGCTTGATCAGGTGTCAGAAGCTCTAATTGCCTCTAGGTCCTTGGTTTTCTCCAGGGTTGTCGTTGTGTATTTTGTCTCCCCTCTTCTCTTTGGGTTTGCCTTTATACTACTTCTTGAGTCAGACCTGAGACTGGAAGTGTTTTCCGCTGAACCCCCTATTGATCCAGGAGCCTTATTAACGCGCTGGGAAGGTTTAGGGGAGGGACGAGTGTTCTGAATTCCTGTGATTATCTCTCAGGCTTTTCGTGAGCCTGTGACCCTGGGATTTGATCTTCACAAGTGCTTCTCAGACTTTTTGTGCCATGGGTGAGAGAATGCTCGAGGGAGCTGGGGCTGGGTATTTCCTTTCCTGTCCCTGGAAAGCTACAGGGCCCAGGTAAGGGTGTTTCCCTTCCCCAGGCCAGTGATGCTCTGGTAGAAGCCAAGGCAGTGGCTCTGGTGAAAGAGTTCCCTCAAGGGAAGGCTTGCTAAGGACACAGGCTATGCTGGGTGTGTCTCAAAATGGTTGCTCTTCATCTGTCCCTGCTGGAAGGATGAAGGAGTTTTCTATGATCTTCACCCTGAGAACTGGGGCTACTGGAGGTAAAACTCAGGAACGTGTGCAGGCCCCTATAAGATGGGGCCCCCAGGGGTTTTTAGCCTGAAACTGATCTACACTGAGCCTCCAGAAATTCCTGGCTTACAGTTAAAGCTTTGCTGCCCAGATCCTGCCTCCAGCAGAGGGCTCTGCTCTGTTCAGCTGGGATTCTCTGTGTTCACCCACCTCTCCAGTTTTAGTGGTAACTGTTTGCCCTATGACCTCGATTCTCTGAAGGATTTAGGAATTGTTGATTTCAGTTTGTTCATCTTTTTTCTTGTTGTGACGACAGGAGTGATGGTCTCTAAGCTCCACACACCTAGGACCACAAATGGGGAGTCTTTGAATCTTGATAAGTACAATGGGCTAATTTTAGCTTGTTTCCTCTGCAAATGCTTCCTTTTCATCCCTGTTTCTGGAAAAGGGAAGAAATGTCATCAGGGAGTCCATCTGCTTTTTTAAAGAAGACGTCACAAATTGCTCAGGGTCATGTCCTGTCCTAGAATTAAAGCTCCCTTTTTGTTCAAGCCCAGAAGCTTGGATGCCAGGCCCATGCTCTCCAGGTGGGATGTGTATGTAGGTGATTAGTCTAGGACTTTAAAAGCAAATAGTGAAGAAATAGCAAATTGCTCCATTAAAGGAGGAAATGTGTAGAGGGCAGACTCCTGGTGTCCACTCAGGATGATAAGCCTGCTCCAGGTCAGACAGGTCAAAGGAGGCAGCAATTCCACTGGCAAGGGTCAGTCTCCCTGTCTGTCGCTCCCCTGGGCCCCTGTTATCCTGGGCTGCATCGTTTCAACTAAAACACACCTTTACTATTTAGGTGTCAGTCCTTGTAGCCATCCACTTGTGTCCTCTCCACACCCCATTAGCTGGGCCACAGCAACCTTTACACAGTTAGGTCTGGCTTCCCTTGTCACCACTCACACAGCCAGTGCTTTCCACACTTGACCTCCAGAGACAGACAGAGGAGAATCATGCTAAGGAACAAGAACAAGGCTTTATTAAAAGGTGTGGGGAAGGCACGAGGGTTCTGGGAGGAAGATGGGGAGAGGGGAAGTTTCAATTGTAGTGCAAAGGAGGTGTCCTGCCTGACTAGAGGGAACGTGATCAAGTGCCCCCGTGTTCTCTCCTGAGGCCTCTGAGCACAGGGACAGGGGATGAGGGGACCTAAGCAAACAGCAAGGCTGCTCCTTCCGGTGCCCCCGCTGAGGTAGGGCTGCTGGAAGTGGAGGTGGGGATGGAAACACCCCTTTCTGGCCGTGGTGCTGGGCCCTCAGCCGGAAGTAAGGCGTCTCTTCCTGCACAGGCCCCCAGGGATGCGGCTTGAGGAAGGGGCAGTAGTGCATCCAGACCCAGGGTTCTGCCTGGTGCTGGGTCTTGCAGTCACCATTGGGACGCTCTGGGGAGGGGGCCCCCAGGTGTTCTGGCCCAAGCTGCCCCCATAGCGGTGTGTGGTGCTTGGGGCCACACTCGTCTGTGCTCTAAGGCTGAGGGCACGGAAGGAACGGGTCAAAAATGACAGAGCAGATCTGCTGTCAAAGCCCTTAGATGCTACCAAGACCTGTAACCTGAAGGGCATGTGGCTTCTGCTGCCAAACTGTGACTGTGGCTGCCTCATCCTGGTCCCAGCATGGGTCACAGTGCTCCGCTTGTAGGTGGCAGGGGCCAAGCCAGAGGCGTGGGCTGTGCCAGAAGGGAAGACAGCTGGGGTGGCAGCAAGACCTGGCCAGGTGCTGCTATGGGTGCCCAAGATGGAAGGTGTGGGTGTTGCCACCCGAAAAGCTGCCCATGTGGTGCTGTCCCCAGCAGGCTGGCCTGGTGCAGGGGTTGGGGCTCGGGGTGGGGCTGGCGCAGCCCGTGTGCCCTTCTGGAGAGAGCTTGGTAAGGTGGTGGCTCCATGCTGCTGCCCATTAGGGGCCCCTGATTTGGACTGGGCCACGGCTCCAGGGTTCGTGGGAAGTTTGGGAGTTGGGGTGCGGCCACAGAACCTCAGTGGGGACAGGCTGCTGGTGACTGAGGCCATGCTGTCCCTGGGGGACATCTGAAGGGCCAGGGCAGGTGAGGAGATGCTCCCACTGGAGCCAGCTGCAGACCCCTCGAGCAGAGGCTGGGGAGCCGGAGTAGTGTCCATGGGGGTGACCTCAGTGTCAGCAGCTGCCCAGGGAGCCAGGCCTGTAGATATGCAGGGAGAGGGGCTGGAACTGCCAGCAGGAATGATTGGCAGGCCCGTGGAGGGAGCGGCACCAGGATCCGTGATGGGAGGGGGGCGCTGTGAGGTGGAGACAGGAGAGTCTGTGCACATGGGTGAGGTGCTCCAAGCTGCAGAGAAGGCAGAACTGGCGTCTGCTGCAGCTGACACTGCAGCCTTGGGTTTCGAGTGGCCTCCTCCTCCCCCATTGCGAGGGTGCCCCCAGGTGGACTTCAACAGGAAGCAGGGAGGGGATGCTGCCGCAGGGGCAGGGGCCCAGCAGGCAGAAGTTGGGCTTCCAATTGCAGACTCCATGCCTGGTGCACGACCAGGAGCAGGGAGCAGGGCGCCTTGGCGCCCAGCAGACAGCACCGCGCTGCCTGATCCTGGGGAGGAAGCAGGGCTCAGCAAGGTGGACAGGGCTGAGGGCAGTGAGGGTGAAGAGGTGCCTGGAAGGGGCTGTGACTGGGAGGGGAGGGGTCCTGGAGAGCTGTGCTTCCTCTGCCACAAAGGATGCCCCACGCTGGCCGCTCCAGCAGTTTCCAGGATGGTGAGTGGGCCCATGGTGTCCTGGACCTTCCTGCGTTTTCCCCCCTTTGAGGTCATGCTGGGGGCCAGAGGGACAGCTGGTGGAGGAGCCGTCGCTGCAGCAGGCACGGGGACAGAACAGGAAGGCTGGGTGGTGCCATGGTCCCTGACGGCCTCGGTCTCACCCCGCAGGGCACTGTCGATGGTCCGCAGTGCTGCTTCCTTCTCCGAGGCCAGATCTTCCACGGTGACTCGAAATCCCAGCTCAGGGGCTGGAGGCAGCCTCAGAGGGGCCCCGTGCCTGCTTGGCAGCAGAGGGGTCTTGCGTTTTCGGGGCCTGGACCTGTCGGGTGTGGGTGAGCAGATGCTCTGGGTTTCTGTCTGCCCCGGTGTTGGCTCTGCGTCCTTCCCACGCTGCGTCTTCCTGTGGGAGAGCCCCGAGCCTGCAGAGGGAGACCCACGGCCCTCTGGGATCACTTTCTCGGAGGGCCTCTGGGGCAGCCAGGTGTGGGCTGTGGCTGGACCCATCCTTCTCTGCACTGATGGGAACCCTCGGGTGGAGCTATATGAGCTGGTGATGGCATTTCTTCTGGGGCAGGAGCTCATGCACGAAGTCTGGGACTTCTGGATGGATCTGTCCTCTGGGCTCATGCTGTGGTGGGTTCCCTGCAGAGGCCCAGGCCTGGGCACGATGGAACAGAGGCCTCCCTGCAGCCCCAGCGGCCTAAATGCAGACGATGCCTCCCCAGGGTTGTCAGGGCCCCTTCCCTCATCGTCCTGCCTCTCGATGACTGGGGGGTCTTCCTCCTGCTCGGCCGTCTCTTTCCTGCTCTCTCCCGGGGTTCTCAACAGCATCTTCTCAGTGCTGGGGTCTTGAGCACACCTGGGTGTTGTGGGCGGCATCGGAGTGACTCCCTGCTCCTGGACCACGCAGGGAGTGACTTTGTCCTCAGCAGATGGTGAGCTGCAGGACTTCTCGGGGGTGAGAGCAGAGATCATGGCCTTGTTCTGATGGCCAGGCCTGCACATGGAAGAAAGGACCCCCAGAAAGGAGTGCAGGATCTTCCGGGTCAAGGCACCCCATCTGGGAGGTGCGATGAGAAATCGCGGGTGTGAAGTTGCTGCATTCCTGCCTGATGTCCTGCGAGTGGGTGGCGGGGCATGGACAGCTGGGTGACCCCGGACAGCCAAGGGAAGTCGGCAGGTGCGGTGAAGGGGCTGGAGGCGGCGAAGCCCTCTTGGCAGGCGCTGGCCCCACAGTGCCCGGGGTGGGCGTGAGGGGCACAGCCTGCCCTGGGATCCGCCCATAGCGCAGGTGGGTGAGGTCTGTCTCTCAATGGAGAGCTGGGCTCTGAGTTCTCTCCTTCAGGTGCAAACGACACCAAAGGCGAAGTGGGCAGTGTGGGGCCTGCTGCTAGGACGCAGCTTTGGAACCTGTGAGGGAAGAATGGACATGTGCCAAGATTCTAGACGGAAGGGCACGTGTGCAGAGGATCCAGAAGGACCTGGGGTGGGACACACTTAACATGTGACCCAGCAAGCACGCTCCTAGGCAGCTAACCAAGGGAGATCACGACTTCTGTTCTCCAGAAACCTGGGTGCAGTGACTGTTGTCACTGCCTTTTTCAAATTTCCTCATGTGGGGCTACTGAGGTTTTCCAGTTTTCTGGAGTGAGTTTGTGAGGATTTCTAGTTGTCCTGAGAATAACGCTACGTGTACCGTTGTTTCACAGACCAATTGCACATAACGCCTTACCAGAGAAATAGAACGTAGAAGCCTTCCAGCCCTGTGGATGCTGTGCCCTCCACTCTGTCACCATCGTCACATGGGTCACCTCCATAGAACTTGAACGCCACCCTCTGACACTGAGGAGTCCTTTTTTATTCAGAGTCGTACATATATTAAAAAATGTAAGAGGTGAAAAATAGGCCACCACATTTATCCAGAGACAACCTTTCTGTCGCTCTTCCTTCTTCCTCAAGTTCCCAGCTCCTCTCGTGTCATTGCACCTCAGCCTGAAGTTCTTTTCACAGAGTATTTTAAGGCCCATTGTCTGGTGATGAATTCTCCCAGTTTTCTCTCAGCTGCATCAACCCTTGTTTGGGTTTTGCTTGGTTTGGCCTTCGATCCTTAAGGGCACCTTTGCTCCCTGTCATGTCCTGGGTTGGTCTTTTCTTTCAGCATTTTAAAGATGTGATTCCATCTCT